GTAATATACTGTATAATCAAGTGATTTGAACTTTGTTTATTTTGATTGGTCGATTTATTTATAAATGTAAATATGATTTGCAATTTGCATATGGGGCAAGATTGATAGCCCAAAATCAAATTGTCATCTGGACTACCCTGGTTGACAATCGGGCCGATTGTCATTTGGGGTACAACATATATACACATTTTAAATTCTACAATAAGGAAGTTATTCAAGGCTGAACTTACTAAACAAAAAAAAAAAAAAAAGTTATTCAAGTACCTAAGTAAAGTTAAGGACAATAAGCATTCAACGTGCATATATACCTCCTACTTTCATTAATTATAATGCAACTAATATCTAAAGATTTAACAAAACTATTCTTTTACGGGGATAATAAGAATAATATTAATGAGTTTCTTTTTGATTATGAGAAGTATGCCAAATCAAAGAATTGAGATGAAAAGACACAATGTAGAATAGTCATTATACATATGCCAGAAGGGACAAACCTGTGGGTTCGAGAGCTGATAAGAACAAAAAATAAATGGGCAGACTTGAAAGATGCAATCATAAAAATAATGAATGCCAAGAACGATGATAAAACAAAAATTAAACAGTTGAGGAGTATCAAACAGGAAGAAAGGAAAACGGTTCAGAGCTATGCCAGTAGGTTTGAAGCTCAAGCAGATATACTGAAAAGTACAATTAGAAGTTACGAAAAAAGAGATTGGTTTTTAGATGGATTACAAGAACCTTACTGAACGAAAGTAAAAACCTTCTGCCCTAGCAGCTACACAAAGGCCAAAGAATGTGCGTTACAAATAGAGAACTTTCAAAAGGATTGGGAGTTGGGTAATGAAAAAAAATTGGTGATGGGTGAAGAAAGATATCGAACAAACAACCCGAATATTGACAAGATAACAGCAGCATTTGAAGCCTCAACAATCAATTAAATGAAACAAGAACCAAATGAAGTCAGCCAGATTGACAAGATTGAAGCATAAATCAAAGAATTAACAAAAGCTATTCAAAATCTTAAGGAAAATAGAGGACCTAGCTTTCACTATAACCAAAGACACAATACCAAAGTCTTGATGACTGAAACCTTGGTAACCAAGATTTTGATAATTGAAACCAATCGACCAGACCCTGCAGGTGCTATGAATATAATCAAGAAGGGCATATTTCAAGGAATTGTCCTACTAAAATATTGCAACCTCAACCTGACAATCGAAGGAACATATTAACAAGTAACCAACCCGAGAGCCCTGAGATTAGAGGTATGAATATACATTACCTTGAGGTTACAGAGGCAGTAAAGAATGAAGTTGATGAATATTTAAGAATTGAGTTGAAAGAGGGTAAATCGTTATTTGATATAAGGAATTTGGGCAAAGGAAGGCGCATTGAAGATGATCATGAAATGTTATCGTGGGCTCAAAAGAGCACTTATGGTGAAAACTCTGAGGAAATTGGACAATTCAAAAGTGGATCTATAATTTACATTCCTATCGCTGAATTAACAAATGATTTGGATATTTTAAAAATGGTAGCATTGCTTGAATTCCCTATAACCCTGGAGCAATTATTCAAATGGTCTTCCAAAGCAAGAACTGAAGTGCTTAAAGCACTAACCAGAAAAAAGAAGGAAAGCGATGTCTTGTTAGTAAATACTAAAATTAGATTCGTGAAGGGCGTACAACCTAGTATGAACCTGAAACTAGAAAACGTATCTGTTGGTGTTGCCAAAATGAATAGTGAATCAGTTGAAGTTCCAATCGATCCTGGTTCGCGTTTGAATTTCATATATGAATCATTTGCTAGATATAAAGGATTATTCTGGAAACCTGTAACAAGCAAGGGTCGAATAGTCGATGATCGTTTCAGTGAATTTGTAGGATATATCCTTAGCATTGAAGTAATAATTGAAGGGATTAGAATTATTCAAGGATTTTATGTAATGAAGGCTGCAAGCTTTAAAGTTTTACTAGTCTTGCCTTACGTTGCTCCAGAAATTCTCATTGGTCAGAAACACACATCACAGGAGGCTGATATTTATGGTTTAGGCGTTATTATGGCAGAAATATCATCTGGAAAAAGGCCATATTATGGGCAGAAATTTGATCTTATGTTCTCAGTAAACGTTTGCAAGGGTTTACGTCCAGAATTTGGTAAAGGAACCCTGATTGCTTCATTAAATTAGCTAAACTATGCATGGATTCAAATCCACAAAAGCGTCCGACTGCTAAAGATGTTCATTTAAAAATTAAACAATGGAAAGCAATTATAGAATCAGAAAATTTAACAAATATAGAGGATCTTAATATAAAAAAGGAATTCATTTATGCTGACAGTATAATTAAAGAAACAACACTAGAACCTTCATCAGAGCAAGATTTATATTGTAGCACACTAATTAATACACAAGAAATAAGCAAGACTCTTAAAGGTACTAATTGAATTGAAATTATTTATATTACTTGTACCATGCAATTAATACTTTGTCATTAATCATTGATTTATTTATTTATTACGCGTAGTATCTACTCAATTGTTTGCAAATTCAACCTTTGAACACCCATCAAATGCTACCGATTTATTAAGTCAGTATAATTTGCAATATGTTTTGCTTCAAATATCTTTTTACTAATACTTTTTTTTTTTAAAGTTAAGAATAGTGAAACTCAAAGTGATTAGTGCATTAAGAATATTTCGCATTAGATTTCAATTTATCTCACCTTGAAATTGACAAATTTTTAAATTTAAAAGCTATATATTATTTACAATCAATGAAGATTACATAAAATTAAAACAAAACGTCAATTTTTACTATATTGATATAAAAAAAATGTACTTTTTTCCTTTTTGATAACAATAACAATTAAATTAAAGTTTTTACGAATTGTTTTTTTTAATTGTCAATGAGCGTTTAGAATTGTATTCATTTTTTATATACGGTAATATATAGATATTGGATGCGAAGCAGCCAATAACAGAATTATTTGGATATGATTCATTTTATCTGGCTGCGTACGTAGCATCCAATAAAGGTTTTATCCGGTGGCTTACTATGATCGTACCAACAGAATAATTCGAGTTCTTTTGGTGATAATTGCGTCATCATCAAATAACGAAGTTATTTGATGATTATGCAATCACCATCAAATTATTCTGTTGGTACGATCATAGTAAGCTACCGGATAAATGGATTTATTTGATTAGTAAAGATTAATATCAAGCTTAATTTCGGCCTATTTTGTTGAGCAAATATATAAATATGTACTAACATTAATTCTTTAAGATCTATGATCCTTTTTGTCTTATTTGTTTGTTTGATGTAATTCTTTTTAATTCTGTGAAATAAAATTTGGTTTTCTTATTGCGAGATAAGATGATTTTATGACCGTCACGTGTTTGATTTTCCAGTTGGCTGTTTAAGTGATCTCGGTAATTGCCCTGATGTTTCTTCAATTCTTTGAGTTAATGCTGTGATTTTGTATGATTATGGGAAGGCAGTATTAGTATAATGATATGGAGTGATGCAAATCACATAATAAGGGTTATACGAAGTGATGTTATTGCGCAACATCTTAGATCTGATTGGTCCGCATGACTAATTGTCACAAATTATTTTTTCGTATATTTTCATAGCGCCTTATACAAATACAAAATCTTCAAATTACAATTTGGTTGATCTAGGTATGTTGATTCGCTGGGCAACTTATGCTTATGATTTGATTCACATGCTAATTCATGTGGTAACTTTTATGCTAGATTTAAATAGGGACCTTACAGTAAAACTCAGCAAAAGCCGCCACCTATAGTCGACATAGTCGACAATCATGGGCAAATGTTACAATTTCTCGTAGTCGCGATTGACCAATTTTTTGTAAAATTTGCAAATCATTACAAAAAAAAAAACCGATTGATTGTGATTTCTAATTTCTATATATAAACTTATATATTTTTTAAACTTCAGATAAGACTTTAAAAGCATGTAAGACTTTATAAAAGACATAATAATTTAATAATAAATTTATTAATATATTTGTCAAACTTTATAGATTTGTTTTTATTAGTTTTAATAGTAGATAGAGTTATTATTTATTGGTAAGCCAATTTTATCGAGAGCTATGAAAATATATAGTACAAATATTATTGCGGTTTGCAAAATTATGTGAAATTTTAAGATCATTAAAAAAAAAGTAATCACTAATTTCTGATTACTGATTCCGATTTCTTCAACATTTTTTTTGACTTTTAGATTAGACAACATTTGCGCATTTATCATTTGTAAAAATTTTATTCTTTTTTTATAGAAATAAAAGTTGCTTATCCGGCAGGTACTATGTAAACACTGACGGAAAAAATTTTACATTATTTCTGCAAATTTTTATTAAAATCATGTGACAAATTTTAATATAAAAATCTGCGGAATTAATATAAAATTCTTTCCGTAAGTGTATACGTCATACCTGCCAGATAAACTAGTTATCTGGCA